AAAAAAAAAAAAAAAAAAAAAAAAAAAAAAAAAAAAAAAAAAAAAAAAAAAAAAAAAAAAAAAAAAAAAAAAAAAAAAAAAAAAATAGTAATCCCTAAAAACACGCCTCAAGTATAAGCTCAATTGTTTATTCCCGTTCGTTTCATTAATCTACAAATGCAAAATCGACGCGAACACCATATAGCTCCGAGTTCCCCCTTGAAATAACAAAGCGTTATACATAAATATAATTATATAGGTACACGCGCATGGCTCCACTTGAAAAATCGCGGCAGCTTTGTCAAACTGACGGATGGCATCGGTCGAGGTTGGGGGTCGGCCGAGGGCCCAAGGAGAATACATTACAGCGGGGAAAAGGGTTTAGCGGCGTGTATATACATATATAGGTAGATATTTATAAGCATCACAATAAGGGTCTCAGGTGCGGGTGGTTGGGGAAAAGAGTAAAACGCCTTCGAGGATAACAAGTAACGAGGCCAACTCTCGACCCCTCCCCCAGGGGTATTTTAGACTATTTTGATGTACACACGTGTGTTACGGGCAGCAATAAAATGATACAGGCAATTGTTGAATTCTTACCTTGACCTGCGACTCGGACATGTTGAGGGCAAAGGCGAGCTTGGCGCGCTCGGGGCCCGCGAGGTACTTGGTTTGCTCGAAGGTCTTCTCCAGGGCGAATATCTGTTGGCCGCTGAAGGTCGGCCTCGTGTGCTTTTTCTTGCCGGGCTCGTGGTCGCCTCCCGCGCCGCCGCCACCGCCCGCACCTCCACCGACGCCGCTCATGGCCTGCTGCTGGCAGCCAAGCTGCTGTGACACTGTGGGTCATCACGTTTCGGTGTTTAGTGATTTTTTTTTTCTTTTTTTTTCTTTGGAAAGGGGTTGGGAGCGTTATCGGCAGGATGAGCCTTTGTGATTTTTCGATTGACTCTCTAATATAGTTTGTGGACAATAAATAAATCGTATCAGTTTCTGGGTAAGACGATGACAGCATGAAAGGTTTTTTTTTTTTTTTTTCCTTCAAACATAGTAATTTTGGGACGGGAAATAAACACCTTTAAGGTTACACTGTGTAGAGGAAAAAAAAAAAAAAATACTCTTTCCGGCAATCGTTCAATAATTTTTATGCAAAGTGCTTTTTAAGCGTTAATATTTGATGCTGTTAAGCGTTTTAACATTGGCTACGGAGCATACAACAAATATCACTGTGCCATACAGGTGTTAATCAATTATATATTGTACTGAAAATGTGTGTCACTTGATTGGCGCGCGCGAGAGAAAACCTTAATATTTGGTCGAGAAAAATATTGTTTCACGCTGATCACCTGTTTCGCTCGTTAAAATTATTTTCACCAAACAACTATATATATACAATCGTGCACACGCGAGACGGGATACGTGGCGAAATTTTCACGCGTCACTATTGTGCTGTTTCAGCTTGTAACGAGCGGGGAAATAAATCGCTCGCGCGCGAGCCACACGATTTTGTGAAAATTTGGGGAACAATAAAAGCCGGAATATCGTATACACTAGGGGAGAGTACCTACATATATATATACCAACGCGAGAAATCACACGTGGAAAGGTATACCTTTATGCCGATCCTTTGTGTGGATATCCCATTAGATCGAATTGACGATTGTGACTTCTTAATTTCAGACACGGAAGGGGAGGTGTTTTTCGATTTCGTGATTCATCACGGGGTAGTTTCACGCCAATTATCATCTCAATGGAGCGCTATATTTCACCGTAGCTTTTTCCTTTTTTTCTTTTTTTTTTTTTTTTTCCATCCTCGGTTTACGGTTGCACTCGCGTGTGAACATCGATGCGCTTGTGCTTGTGTATCAAAGAGAGAACGATTACGTGCAGGTACGCTACAATAAGTTTTGGGAGCAGTGGTGGATGAAATTGGTTATACATAAACACGCGAAATCGGTACTTTCACGTGACACGTGTCGCGTAAATGAAAGATGTAAAAAACGAATGTACAATTCACCTTCTACACTCCAAGCCAATGGTGAAAAACTGAGTGAAAATGAACTACTTACTATGCATAAGTACACTTATACATAAATATGAGCAATGTATCGATTACAGCACCGCGGTCGGAAGCATGTAGATGTACACGCGCGATTGGCAAATTTTCCGAAAATCAAGTAGTAACATCAGCGTTTGGTCAGACGGGGCCGATGACAGAGGGGATTTTCGAAAGAAAAAAAAAAAAAACAACCAGAGGTGCAGGGAGCCATCATCAATCGTGCGATCCGGGCGTGGGGAAATAACAACACCGGAGGACGGAACAGGCGAAGGGCGGGGGGGTATGGGAAAAAGAGAGAAAAAAAAATCGCGCGGCTGAACGGGTAAGTATAATCTCGCGCGTCGACGATGCGGCGTATAAGCGCCGGAGAAAGGGAGGGAGGACCCAACAGGGTCGTCCGGAAATCCGCGGGTAATTGAACCGGAGACAAGAGGTGTATCCGCATACGGAGTGGAGAAAGGGAGGAGGAGACAAATGTAGAGGGAGATCGCGTCATCGCTCAACGCGCACACTCGCCAAGGGCAGGGTTGGTAGGTGTGTATACACGGGGCTTTCGATAAAAATGTAAATATGGCGGCGTGGCGCAACGAGCCAATGACAGTAGGGCCACGGTTTGCCCGATGCCGCCGAGTCGGATATACACGTATACGCCGTGCTCGCTTATACCCTACAGTGATATTCAAGTGTATATGTATAGGTATTGCGCTCCTTTCCCGTACACACACTTTTACAGGGGCATCGTATATATACATACAAACACTCTTCTTCCCGATGGGATTACCGCGCCCCCGCAACTCCTTCTTTCTCTCTTCTCGCTCGTTGCTATTGGGCTTCATTTTGGGCTACGCGGAGATGAGGTACAATATGGGATGTATAGGTACATACACGTATACAGCCAAATAACCGGGGAGGGGGTGGGGGAGAAAAAGAGAGAGAGAGAGTATAGTATGTACCACCAATAACGCCCAGGAGTCACGACCGCACGACCGGAAACTACCATCTTTATTCGCCCCTCTCTATCGCGCCATTCCTATGTGTTTCCATTCCATGCGTGGCTGGCTTCTCCTCTCGCGCACCCCTTTCTCGACTCGTTTACTTCTATCGCTTCATTCCGCTTGTTTCCCTTTTTCTTTCTTGTCTTTTTTTTTTTTTTTTTTTTTTTTTTTTTTTTTTTTTTTTTTTTTTTTTTTTTTTTTT